TAGTACATCTACACCCTGGCTGGTATCAAAACAAAGTTTACTAACTTGATCATCGTTCGTCAGCCTGGGGGCATTTTTCGTTGGTAAAGATAACAAAACCAAGTGTAGATTGTTGGGTTTGATAGGTGTGTGTGTAAAATTATAAAACAGCGTGTGTTTATATATAATGATATTGCTTATCACATTTGTGTTGATTTTGTCACTTCATGGGGAAGGGGTTGGGGGTGTTGTAACCAGGTCAGATTCTGTTTTAGTCCATCATTCCTATTCAGCTCAGACAATTTGGATTCCATTTGATGATATGAAGTGCTTCATACCATTTTATTATTATTATTATCTGACAGGTATTTATAATGAAGTTTAATCGTGCTATCGTTCAATAGTTTATATATATGAATGCCTAACTAGGTTACCGCATATTTTAAAAACTTGAGTCATCACACAATAAAAACTTTGACTTTTGTATTTGACCTTTATAATTAGAAAAAGTGTGGAATTTATTAAATTTACTAGCTAGTAACGACAACAGCAGTGCTAAATTATTATTATTAATATTATTTCGAGTTAATCTACAGCCATGTATATGTTATTTGGCTGAATGAGACAAGCAAAATTTCGTCGGTAAATATTTACAAAATTATGATATGATGATAATAATAATAACAAATAGCGCAATCATCAAAAGAATCTTTTCAGATTTTCTAAGCAAAAACAAAATCTGACGACTTCGGATGCATACACTACATAAGCAATAATTAGTGATAAAAAAAAACAACAAAACATGAGTTTTGTCGAAGTGAATACAGTTCAAATATTCAAGCTTTCATGAAACATTGAATTAAATAAAACATAACAGACAATGGGTATGCTGGCAAAGAAACATTTCTGTTGTGTTGATGAGAGTATTATTAAAAGTCTTGTAGAATTCACGAATGAAATCTTGATGGAATAAATGTATGCCTTATATGGGATGTTTCCTTCGGTAAGACAAAAAAATAATTCTAGAACATTTCTGTTGTTTTTTATAATCTGCCTGCGTTCTGTAACTTCCGTGTGTGCTAAGTGGTATAATAAGGTGAGCAATATTGAGGTTAGGCGTCAGGTGCTGAGTAGGTGGGAGGGGGAATTAATCGATGAGGATATGAAGTTACACCGATTGAGATGGTTAGGACATGTGGTACGTATGCATGACTAGTCATCGGCTTCCTCGACAATGGAAAATGTTAGCTAGCTGATATAGGATTGGTCAGTCTGGAAAAGAGCTAGCCAGTGGTGGTCAAACCAAAACATGGCCTCAACAGTCAATGAAATCCACAACAGTTAGTTTAAGCCAGCCAACCACGTAGGAAGGTGTAGACTGGCTTCCTGACTTCCTGGTTGGGGTCATCGGGACGGTCAAAACCAATGAAGCCTGGAAACAATTGGTGATATGGCCGGCTCAAAATCGTTCTCAACGGCTGGCGCAGATGCATCCACTTATGATTTCCAATGAAACTATATTGTTCTTCATTATTACTATTCCTTTGTCTCACACCCCTGTTTACTGTGGCTATTATGCATTTCTTCTACTTCTGCTTTCTTCTGTTGCTTTGTGTGCTACATGGAGGAACTGTGGCGATTTGAACTGGTGTACACCGGTGCAAAGTTCTATGTCGAAAGCAGACAGACAGACATCATATATGCATGTAAAACCCAGTCATTACACAGACAGACAGAATTTCACTTTGAAATGAACAACTACAGTATACAGTATGTGTTTTGCGTGGAAAATAATTTTACAAGTCCGACAGGTAACTGTACTTGCATTCTTTCCTCGCAGTTGAACGACAGTTTTGTGTATCTAGACGGTTGTGTGACATGTACCACACCGACCAAGAGAAGACAGTAAGCAGAGATTCAAAACACTCACACACAGATAACAGACACAAGAGTGTGTGAGGCAAAAGGAATAGGAGTAACATGGAAGAACAGAGTTTTACTGGATGTGATAAATCACAAAGACTAAATGCATCTTCACCAGCGACAGCCAACACCAAGAACGATTTTCAACCAAACATATCACCAAATATCTCCAGCCTTCATTGGTTCTCACCATCACTCCGAAGACTCCAACTAGACAGACAGTCGACACCTCCCTACGTGTCTGGCTGACTAGTTGGCCTAAACTAACTGTTGTGGATTTCATTGACTAACGATGAAGCCATGTTCTGGTCTGACCACCACCATCACTAGCTAACTCCTTTCCAACATGATCTATCCATCCTATGTCAGTCAGTGGCTAACATTTCCCCGCCCGTCAGTCGAGGAAGGCGATGACTAGACGGGTGGGAATGCATGAGTGAGTAACGCATGTCCTAACCATCCATCTGGATGGGTTTAACTGCCGGTTGAGTGATTCCAGATTGTCTTAGCATCTTAATGTAGTAGCTTAGATTGATAAAATATAGGATGACCAAATAAGGCCATAGGATAAGTAATGTACCAAGGTACTTTGTATTAGATTTAGTTCCTATTACAGTCTCCCCTCTATGCTACAAGCGTCATGGATAACACATACATTCCTACTTCTAGTTGATATTCATTCATCAAATATTTATATAGTAAGCTCTCAAAATATTCTTAAAATATTGACATTCAAACAAAATTATATTCTTGGGAGCCAAGTGCAAAATACACTGGCTGAGAAAGAAAGAAAGAAAAAACATTCTACCTTAAACTAACGGAAATCAATGCTATAGTGTGATATTAACAGAAAAACCATGGATTTTACGTAGACATTATTACTCTTTTCATTGTATAAATCGATAAAATCCAAGGTTGGAACGTGGTCACTACACGACAAAAAAGCACAATTCTTAATTTCAATGTATGTAGGATTTTCTCAAAAGCTTGACATATTTGAGCATCTATACAGATAGATAGATATCTCGCTTTCGTGCGTTGACAATTAGAATAAAACCTGTAAATCTTTGTGATTCACGGATTTGAAAACTATGTAGATAAATATAACGAGGTGATAAGTATGCTTAATAATTTTAATCTAAGTTCAAAAAGTTAATTATACTAGTTAAGGAAGGGTGGAGTTAATTGGTGAAGAGGCAGTAAAAGACTATAATACTAGTAAATCTCCTTCGATAACTTATTTAATTTAATTGAGTCCATGTCCACTCTCACCATTTCTGTTTAATTTCATCATAGATGTGTATGTACTAATGGACTAAACACTGACTGACTTAAGCGCTACTCAGGGATTACCTTGTTACTATCAGGGAATAATAGTCTCGTTGACTTAGAATACGCAGATGATGATGATGATGTAGTCCTCACTCTTGGGTTAAGACGCTGCTAAAATAGAACAGAGTCTTCTGAACACACACCTTGAACTTGAGCAGCAATTTTCGAATATTTGGTATTCGGGCGATTCCCCCGTGCTTTTCTCGAATGTAAGATGATGCTACAGGACCCGACTCGACTGTAGTACATCGACTACTCGTAAGCTTAAAGATAGGCAGGCAGACAAGCAGGAGTAAAGTGGTGGCTGGCTAAGTATGTTGACCATTTCACTCATTAGGGGAGTCGCATAAGCTCAGTTATTGCTGCTGAGATCTCAGCGCACGAATACAGATGCCTCGTTTAGCACTTTTCAGCCAACTTACGACATCTCTCTCTCTGGCTTAGTAGATGTGATATCCAGTTGACTATGGATTAAACAGCATGTGAGTACAGCTCAGAAGTTCGCATTCACACAGTGGTATACATGAAAAGCCAGGCTAGCTAGCTAGCCAGCTACCTGTTTTTGATCATCAGTGTCTGAGTTCTATCTCCCATGTTAGGTGGTGTAAGTGGTAGGTGTAACAAGGTGAGCGAGCGACATTGAGGTGAGATATCGGTCGGTCGAGCGCTAGGTAAGGGTAAGGGGTAAGGAAGGAGAAGAAATCAATCGACAATGAGGTCACTTAGCAGTTAAACTCATCCAGATGGATGGTTAGGACATGCGTTATTCACTCATGCATTCCCACCCGTCTAGTCATCGCCTTCCTCGACTGACGGGCGGGGAAATGTTAGCCACTGACTGACATAGGATGGATAGATCATGTTGGAAAGGAGTTAGCTAGTGATGGTGGTGGTCAGACCAGAACATGGCTTCATCGTTAGTCAATGAAATCCACAACAGTTAGTTTAGGCCAACTAGTCAGCCAGACACGTAGGGAGGTGTCGACTGTCTGTCTAGTTTGGGTCCTCGGAATGGTGGTAAGAACCAATGGAGACTGGTGATAATTGGCGATATGTCTGGTTGAAAATCGTTCTTGGTGCTGGCTGTCGCTGGTGAAGATGCATTTAGTCTTCGTGATTTATCACAAATCTCTGTTTACTGTCATCTCTTGGTTTGTCAGGTACATGGATGAGGTGTGGCCACGTAAAGTGGTGCACATATGTGCAAAGTTCTAAATTGAAACTAGTCGGTCAGTAATCTCATATCGCCAAGGGAACAATCAGAAAATCATTTGTTAACCACTTTATTTGATAGAAGTTGATAATTTCAACTGACTTGTCAGACAGTTTAACCAAATTGATCATTTTAGGCAATAAAATACACATGAGTTGATGACCGATGATTCGTGTACACACACACACCCCTTGAGCATCAGTCCATCAGTGGCTTGGTGGCAAAACGCTCGACAACGACGCATATGGTCTGAGATTCTGCCCATGGGGGCGAGGCATTCCTAAAGATCGCCAAACAGGCAGCAATCCCTGTCAAGATGGAGGATTGAGCCATGCAGTAAGCTAGCTTCATGCCACAGGAACTGCAAACCTGAAGCTTGGATCACTACTGGGAATGTTAAGGGCCAAAATAATGATGATAAAATCATCAAGTTTTAAAATTTAGAAAAAAATGATATTCATTTCGCAATAATGGTGACATTCTGAAGCATAATTGATTGATTTTATCGTCAATAAAATAATATTATGTTGGAAGTGAATACAAGTGCACTTACCCCTTCCTTTCCAATAATATCTGAAGTAGCTCTGAAAAGTTCAGAAAATAAAACTCTGGTTAGATAAATTACCATGATTTATATATATATATATATATATATATATATATATATATATATATATATATATATATATAATACGTCGGATCGTCAGATTTCCGAACACCATCCTGCACGTTGGTTAAGTAAGTGATAAACAAAGTCGATTCAAGGTTCTACTCTATCGCATCTCGTGGATACAGAAGACGAGATTGATGTTAACGAGGCGGCTTTCAGAGTCACCTACCGTATACCGACCAACTTATTTTAATTTTACCTTTAGAGTTCACCTACTACATATTGCTAAGGCTGTTGGAATCTGCATTGAAAAGCCTAATCAATGTGTCCAAAAGAAGAAGTTGGTTGGTTCAGACACTCTCCTTATCCCTTGGCCATTAAGGTTTTAATGACACATAATTTGTTGTTGTAGGAATTTCTTTCACTCTATTTGATATTCTACTTTCTATTGCATCCTTATTGCTTCTTATTACAACTTAAAAATCTTTCTTGAACTGTAATTCCATTGATCTTACTTAACAGATAAGTAGTATTTAAAAAACACCAATATTATCAATGACGATTACAGCGAAGAAAACTTTCCTTCCGACAGAGTCACCGTCAACTAGACAGCTGTACGTACATTCGTGTATGCATAGGGTAAATGTGTGAGAAATTTCCAGAACTGTCTATCTGTCTGTTTCCGACCCAGAACTTTGCACCGATGTGCACCAGTTCAGGTCGCCACACTCCCTCCATGTAGCACACAAAGCAACAGAAGAAAGCAGAAGTAGAAGAAATGCATAATAGCCACAGTAAACAGGGGTGTGAGACAAAGGAATAGTAATAATGAAGAACAATATAGTTTCATTGGAAATCATAAGTGGATGCATCTGCGCCAGCCGTTGAGAACGATCACTTTGAGCCATCTCATCACCAATTGTTTCCAGCCTTCATTGGTTTTGACCGTCGTGAGGACCCCAACCAGGAAGTCAGGAAGCCAGTCTACACCTTCCTACGTGGTTGGCTGGCTTCAACTAACTGTTGTGGATTCCATTGACTGACGATGAAGCCACGTTGTGCTTTGACCGCCGCTAGCTTTTTCCCAGCCTGACCAATCCTATGTCAGCCAGCTAACATTTCCCATTGTCGAGGAAGGCGATGACTAGGCATGCATACGTAACACATGTCCTAACCATCTCAGTCGATGTGATTTCACAGCCTCATTGTCGATTGATTTCCCTTCTTATCTAGCACTTGACTGATGTCTCACTTCAATATTGCTCACCTTATAATAACACTTCACACGGGAGATAGAGCGCCGGCACCTATGATCAAAGACAGCTAGCCTGACATTTCATGTCTTCCACTCTCAATGGCCAGGTCTCGCAGACAGCCATAAAGGAGGACGGAGAGAACTGGACTAGACTTTAGTGACCGTTGAAATTCCAATTTTTTTCAATTCATGATACAGCGTACTGCACTCACTAATTCCTTCATTCAGTGGGCATCCCCTACTTCACACCTTGATACATGGTGGTAGACCGCATTGGTCAGTCACTCCATCGAAAAATCTATCCAGCAGCTGGTGACTGATGATATAATTATATTCAGATTATGAGGATTTTGAATTCACTTCAATGGTTGGATTTTTGTCAGATTGAACACACATTACTGAGGAGTCCTAAAATAGGATGAAACAGATGTCCGGTGTGCTCCTCTCTCCCCACCCCTCCCGCCTATCTTTCTAATAATCTAATCTAACTGATGTTGATTCTTGACGTAAATCTAACAATTTATTAAATATGAATTTTTTAAAATAAAAATAAATAAGAAACAGAAATATTAACACTGGCAAGAGCTGATAATCAGTTGGAAATGCTTAACAGCTTTTCATTAGCGGATCTCGTTACGTTACAGAAATTTCAACACCTAGGAGAATCAGTATGGCAGCAGTTCCGGAAAAACCAATATCCATAAAATTGCAGTTCCTCGGTGACAACATCAGGGAAATAATAACACAGCGCCTGAAGAATGCAGTTATAAAAAAGCTTATTATGCAGCAGAGGTGGTACGTTGTCTCTTCACAACCACCCTTATTCTACGTTCGAGAAATAAGGATAAACTACCTAAATTTGCCTCTTCTATGTGTATCTACCAGTTTGACTACAACTACATTGGTCGTACAATTAGGCAGGTTAATCATCGTATTTGCGAACATCATCCTGCATAATGGTGGTTAAGCAAGGGAAAAACAATATCTATTCGTAGCTCTGTTTTAGCACACCCTGTAGATAGTGAGCATAAGGTTGGCGTTAATACAGTATTTAAAATTATCTATCGCATTCCTACCAATCTTAATTTTGCTCTACGAGTTCTTCTTCTACACACACAGCTGAAGCCATAGGAATCCACCTGAAGAAGCTAAACCTGTGTGTTCAGAAGAAATTTGTACAGCCACTTTCCTTACCTTGGTCATCGTTACATGAATGCATAAACCGGACTACTTCACCCCCTCTCCCTAAACCTTCAAAATTATAAAAATTCGAATTGTCCAAATTATTTTATTTATTTTTCTGACCACTTCATCCTTGTAAAATTAATCTAATGTAACCATTTCTACCTTTTAATTGTGTACTGATTTTCTCCGTTAATTATCAACCCATTGACATGTTGACACTGACTAATTATTGTTAACAAACATATCAGTGCAACTGCCTGATTGATAAACTGTTGTGTATTGTAATAAAAATGCTACACGTGTATATTAGAGGCAGAGTGAGATGAGGATCTAATTGAAAAGTGAATATTTCTTCGCTCAATCTTTCTGTTTTCTAAATGTCTAAATGGGGATTTTTTCTATACAGAAATTTGTTTCATAATAATAATAATAATAGCTTTATTCCGAACAGTAATTTTGGTACAAATTTGAAATTTTCAGTACAGTAGTGCATCTAATTTTCTCATTACAGGGGTCAAATAATTAAAGTAGGTCATTCACATTAATAATATCGTTCAATAAGAAAATTAATACAAAGTTAAATCAGGGGAAAATATTAACGACAATGTAACAATGAGGAATAGAAAACATTGTCATTTGTTTAGAGCTCCTCTCTCAGTAAGTTGGTAATTTCCTGTCTTACACACCTTTCTCATCACATAAAATGTGTCCCGGCCGGCTAAATAAGGTATTCTAGAGATTTTGTATTTAGTCGTCCAAGCATAAAAACTCTTCTATAGTTGCTTCTGATTCCCCTGAGCGATGAGATGGACGCAAGTAGAGAATTGTGTACAGAGAGGATGTTTAGAGTCTGGTAAGAGTTGATATTTGCTAATTTCCTAAATGAGTTCAAATGTCTACCTCTACAAAAGTATTAACGAGTTGGTTTAGGCAACACCCCACTCACCCTCCCTACTGACGGCTTTTACTTCCCTCCACAGTATAACAAACAAAGTCTTTCTCAGGTAGCCTGTCTGTCTCCGTCTGTCTGGATTTAACATAGAACTTGGCACCGAAGTGCACCAGTTCGAGTTGCCACCTTCCAAATAGCACACAAAGGTAGACAAGAAGGTGAGTGAGGAAAATCAATAGTTTGACAGGTATAAGAGCGAAACAGAATGGGTAATGGTAGAAAGAAATATGAAAGATTACAGAGACTGAATACACCTGCGCCACTGACAACGATTTTGAGCCATGTCACCTATTGTCTCCAGTCATTGATTCCTAGAGTTTCGAGGGCCTCAACCCGGAAGTCTGCATCTCCCTACCTGACTCAGTTTAACTGTCAAGGATTTCATGGATTGATGCCATGTTTTTGTTTGGCCACCACTTACTCTTTTCCAACCTGCACCTATATCAGCTAGTAATGCTCGTCGAGGGAGGCGGTGGTTAGGCATGTGCAGCACGTGACCAGGTAGCCTAGGAAAGATTAAGGAGGGGTGCGGATCGGTAAAGAAGTATAGGCAGAATACACGAATTAACGAACGGTAACAGCAGAGACGGAATGCTACCATATTGTTTCAGCTTCCTTACAAAGAACGTGAAACGAAATATTTTTCTGAAAACTAACTAACATGATATGGGAAGATTGGGAATATACGACATATAGACACATCGGCCTGAACAGAATTCCCGTAGCGACGCCATCAACCTGGCAGAAACAGTATCCTTCAAATGTGAATCTAGCATTACTAATACACAGAAGCAATAAATCCCTTAAATAAGATGTAGGGAATGGGATGAAAAAGTTATGTTTGGCAAAGTAATCACACAAAATGTCAACTGTTTTAAGTAAAGGCACACATTAGTGAATAAAGAGATTACATCAAGAGTATATATATATATATATATATATATATATATATGTGTGAGAAGTTTGTGTATGTGATCCGATTGTTCAAAATGTGTTGCATGCAAATACACAACACGATTCAGACAGATTACCTCTTCTTATTGCTTTGTTTAAATTGTTTCAGTCAAAACACAGAGTCCAGCTGGGTGGTCACAAGGTGGCTGGCTAGCTGGCTGTCTTCTTATGTTTCTTTCGTGTAGAAAACAACATATTGTACTGTTTTAAATGGAAAGCGCTCCACTCCGTTGCTAACGGAAACTGGTGTGCCTCAAGGTACTGGCTGTACTCTCTCCATTCCTGTTTTCTTTCTTTTTGCTTCACCTTCCAGATACTTCTAGAGCTAACTTCATTAAATATCCCAACGATCCAACCATTCCTGTCCCAGTAGTTTCTACTTAGGGTTGTTCTATATGAACAGATTCTTGTCTGAAGTTAACAAATCGTCTCACCTAAACAGTCTTAAACAAAATCCATCTAAACGTCATATTGTTGACTTTAGTTTCAGATGCGGAGAAGACTTGGATGCGTCGATTGATTGATTGATTCAGTCCTCTCATGGTTCCTGTAACACTGACGGCACTGTGGTGATACGGAGTAAATCGAATATCTCTCCTTGTCTCGGCACCAATTTCTCTCCAAATCTCTGTTGGTCGTCGTCTCACGTACTGTCGACTTCTGATATCTAATTTCTCGTTTGACTTATTACACACTAAGGAAGTTGAGACAATTTCTACTGGCATAACTCAACTCGACGTCTTCTCTTACAATTTGTTAATTCTTGTATTCTGCCCATTCTCAAAAAAGAATATGTCATATAGTGCGTAGAACACTGAAGATTTCAAGTAGACAAGGTTAGTGGTGTGTGTGTGTGCCTTTGACTCGACTCAGCTAACCGACATTGTTGTTGTTGTTGTTTGTTGTTGATAGGCACCTCGACTCAATTCTTGCAAGCATTTAGCTAAAGTCATCCTGTCCGAAACCGAACATCCTCTCTACTTATTTGTTCTCAACTCTTGCCTTGTATCTCTCCGGAGAGTGAAACCAGAAGAAGCTTGTTGAGAATTTACTCTGGTACAGCAACTAAATATAAGTAAGTATTCTACCATACCACCATACTTAGACCGGGTTTTGTGTATGAGGAGAGAGTCAGATGTCCGAAAAGAACTTATGAACCTACTTTTTAAATCAGTAACTGAACTGCAAAATATAAATAAAGATTATTATTATCATCAGTACATGTATTATCTATACTACTATCTACTTCACTACGTTTCCACCAACATTCTGTTTACAGTGGTTTCTTTATTAATATTATTACTATTTTAAATTTTATGTATGTATATATTCATTAAAGGAAGAAAATTGTTGCAATAAGTATCGACAAAAGCGCTGAAAACTCCATTCTGTATAATTATCATTGTTGTTTGGAATAAGGTTATTATTACTGTATTGCACTGTTAGGAATTCTAAGCTATATTGCCACAGATATACTGAGGTCATCATATTATCAGAACATTTCAGATAAAAATAAATAACGTTGCAACAGAACATTAACTTACATTTTTAGGAAGCATCAAAAATAACACAGTTGAAACGGCAATAAAGATTAAGGCGATTAAGAAGTAAGCCATTCCACTAGCGGTAGGTGTAGACGCCGCTGCAATAGATATGATACTAGCCACAGATGCAAGAACTCCTGAAACAGCCTCAAATAAAAAAAATGATACGGAATTTATTAGAATACATATATATATATATATATATATATATATATATATATATATATAATAAAAATGTGAATGCATTCAGTTACACGAAGTTTTACACAACAGAGTAATTGAAGAGAGATGAATACAACCCAATTGTATTACAGAATAGACCACACTTGAAGCATAAGTGTATGAAGCTGGGTAGTTTGCAGGAATTACAAATTTATGATTCAAGAACAGCCAAAGCACCTGACTGATAGCTGATAACTAACGTGCTAAGGGATAGCTTATAAAAGCAATGTAAAAAAGTGTGATTTCAATACCCACAATTAATTCTGTAGAAGGGATACAGAAATGCAAGATAATATCAAGACATTAAGAGTAAATGTGTTTATTTTCAATTTTAATCAAAAAAGTGCTGCTCTTCTAAACACATAAAAGCACCAAGAAAACTGAGCTGTGCATATGTCTAACAAATGATCTTACTGAAACGCCTAGTGATACTTTAGAAGACCGCCAGCTTTCAATGCATTAGGATTTCTTCCTAAGACTGATAAAATATGTGACCGTCGTTTCCAATACGTGGCAATCCATAATTATCGATGCCGATAGCTTAAAATTATTTTAACTTTTGGCGTAGCAGCGAACTACCTATAAGACACTTTTGGTCGTAGCAACCGGGAAGCAAATTTGTCTTAGAAACTAACTCATGGTGTTAGAAATAATATTCACTGAAATCAACTTCAATATATATATATATATATATATATATATTATCGGTGGTAAAATGGAAATAATTTGTATTTATTACTCTAACAACTGATTGGAAATTAAAGGTATTCAAATGACTGCGAGTCAAGTCTTTAACACATAGAAGAGATACAGTGGTTTTTGATTAAATACTAACACCGAATTTTATTATCACATTTCACGGATATTGTGATACAATTCCGATGGAATCGAAGAAAAAGTTGAGGCCTTCAGACATTTAATATTCACTCGTCTGATAAATGCATGTAAGTATTCCTTAGGGTTAGGGATTAAAAACGTCAATATACACTACAACTCCGGAAAAATACCCAGTTTACCCTTGACTGTATATTCTTTCTTTCTTATTCTGTCTTTGAGAATTTGCATAACCTGCACTAGTTACATCTGTTATTATTATCTCTTTTCTTTTGTCAACAACGCCGGACGACTGACTGGTGAAAGGATTAACTACAGTCACAGTAAAAACACAGTCTTTATAGGCTGCTTACTACAAACTACAAATAATTAATCCAAGCATCACTCCTTTAGGAGTTAACCAAAGCTACAACAGTCAAGCCACGGGATGAACACTAGGAACCTTTCCTCACAACCAAGAAAGGAGAACAAAGAAATCAAATCAGTTTATATTAGCTCGTTGAAAAAGACACTGGAATACTGGAGAAACACCAACCTCCTCAACGAGGTGAAGTTGAAGCATCATAGCCAAAGCCTTGAACAACCAATCAGAATCCAAATACAAGAAAGTCGCATAATAGTTAAAAATACATTAAAAATTATTTACAAGCTTGATATCACACTGTATAGTTGTCACAAATGTGATGTGAGAATGTCTACCAGTTAATACACCGATGATCTATAAAGGAATAGTACCACGGGCGATATACCCATTCATACAGGTTATTGTGAGTCATAAAAATTGAGATCCATTGATGTTTCCGACACTGTTCTTGAGCCTACTCCTAACTCCAACCATAATCCTAACTCCTAATTCCAACTTTAACCCTAAACCTAATCTTAACCCTACACACTAAACCTTAATCTTAAAAGCCATAACCCTATCTAACACGATAAATTTGCAGAAAAGGTACCTAGTAAATAAGTATAATACTCTATCTATCCTCCAATTCTGAAAAGCAGGCGTGACTTGGTTTAGGACGATATTTCGTAGCATTCCGTATATCCGATAGGTTGTTAGTCAGCTTTTGGAAGACCTTGACTAAGGCTATGATACTTTAACTTCACCACAGTGTAAAAAAACTCGTAACAGTATATATGTGTAGAAAAAAACAAAATTACAGTTTTATTACTCACCTGCCCTTCTAATACAGCTTTCATGCTTTCGGAAGGAAGAACTGCAGCAGTACTGAATACACTACTTTGTACAAGAGCACTACCACCTGTAACGCGATGAAGTTAAAAACTCAGAAGACTTACAATTAAGCAACACAACCGAAAACAATGTTAGTCCCAAAAATGCGTCGGCACCTAAAATAAATTTTCATTTTTGGAGTAATAATTGACTTACTAACGTCTATAGGGACAATAATTACGGTAGCGAGAAATACAAGAAATACTACTACACTCCCAACAATGAACCGAAGATTTGATTTAAACCTACAAATAATCAGCTTAAGAATTAAAAAATCTAACCATTTCATCAAAAACAAGTTAGCGACCGACATTAGTGCAAACGGTACCAATGAACAAACTGCGATAAAACTTCCAAATAACACTTGAGAGGGCGTCATAATATTAGGGTTTGAGTAGTCTGCAGTGTTAGGAAGGGATTTGTTCCTCATTTTGTAGTCAAAATACTGAAAAGTAAGCAACGTGGAAAAATCTCACCCTTTGAGCATTTATAAAGAAGTTCCAAGGGAGGAGCCCACCCAAACCACACATAAACAGGACAATATACACCAATCGATACCTGAAAATATTTCATAACAATGTACTGACTTATCTTTGGGTACATATCCTCTGTCATCTTTGCTTTCTGATGCCATGAATTATTACTTGACAGAAAATGAATTGCCTGTAACTCTTGAAAGCAGTAAATGACTTTGTCTAAAAAACAGAGATAATTGGAATCACAGTGGGATACGATGTTCATATTACCTTACCTTTAACTAAATAATTACCCTCAAACCTGCGTCTCTAAGCTCTCCAACTAACGCGGTAAACCCTTTCGAAAGCTGTGGCTAGTTAATATACGCGGGGTGGAAAAAAGGTGCTTTCAAAATTTCAATCTTCATTCAAAATCCAATATTACTATCAACAGTTAGTGTGAATCATTCTGACTTTTCCACCAACAGCGAGAATTGTTGGCAGGATATTATGTCATGAGTCTCATGGTTATATTCTAGTGTAGTGGTAGGTGATTACCCAGAATTAATGGCCACCTCATTCACCACTGAACACTGGATGCTGACCGTCACTGATTAAGTCGATTTGTTTATCTGAAAGCTTCCGGTCAAGCACCCACGCTATCTGGCGCGCGTTCATGTTACGTTCGTTTGTGCACGATCCCTAGATTAACATATTTATTTCCGCGAATGGACGATTTTTACAATATTCAAGTTGAGTACACACACAAAAACAAAATACAATCATACAAAAAATCAATAGAAAAATAAGCACAAAATAATGATTCCTAAATAACATAAGTAACCTTCGTAAAGATAAATAAATATATGAACGTAAATTAGTCAATTAAGCTATCAAAAAAATAAGTGTAGAAAAATTAGCACAGCAGCCCATGTTGAACCCTATAATGTGTACTTTTTCTACAGCACTGTCAGTTAGAAGTGTTTGTACATACTTGTGTAATTGTGAGTGATTTTTTATGTCAAACGTTGATGTGAGCTCGTACCATACTGGCCAGATAATGCTGAAACGTGATTTCGGCTAGCTGAAGCAGATTTTTGTGAGCATGGGATAACCGATCAACGTTCACAGTTACTTGCAGTTATTCACGCCCTACCGCGGGAATTCAGCAAGTACGTAACATCACAGATGTTGAGTCACTAGGTAAGTAACTCGTACGAGTTGCTAAAAGCATCCCTCCTCAGGAGAAACGTTCTCACGGACCGACAACGTCTAGATGAATTATTTCGTAACATCGAGTTGGGAGATCAGTCAGCCGTGAGCATGCTGACTAGAATGAAAGAAATCGTCGGGCAAAGTCAGTTCGACGAAGGACTATTTAGAGAACTCTTCTTATCCAAGTTGCCACAGTCTGTACAGACCGTACTTGTGACACTTCAGGGTACTGTAATAGAGGACTTAGCTATTACTGCAGATAGGATTCTAGAAATAACTAAACGGTCTGTTCCCTAAATATGCTCTATGACTAAACAGACTTCGAGTAAGGATCCTGCAATGATAGAGTTATGCAACTCCATCCAGCAGATGTTTAGGTCGAACATGCATTCTAAATCCTCCGACCGTCGTCCTAAATCTCCTCAACGCAGGAACTCACGTGGTCGATCTAAGTCCAAACCACGTTCACTGAAAAACCCTGACTGGTGCTGGTACCACAACACCTATGGCCAAGAAGCGAAGTGTTGCCGTAAGCCTTGTAACTTCGGAAATGTCTCAAAGTCTGCGGGAAACTATCCCGCCGGCACGCGTTAGCGGCAACCGTCGCCGGTGGCACTAGCCGCCTTCTCTACATCCATGATGTGATAAGCCAGACTCGATACTTAGTCGACACAGGCACCGAAGTCAGAGTCCTTCCTGCTACAGCAGCAGATCGACAGAAGGAATCTACTTTCAGCTTACAGGCTGCAAATGGAAAACCAATCGCAACCTTTGGTAGGACATACGTCTGTCTGAACGTAGGTTTACGCAAACCTATTCGATGGATTTTCCTTCTCGCTGACGTTACAATGCCCATCATTGGCACGGACCTACTTAATCATCATGATTTACTCGTAGACGTCCGCCGAAAACGACTGATTGACAATACTACTAGTCTGTCTATCAAAGGCATCAGCTACATAGGCCCTAGTTTGTCACCCGTTAAGATAAAGACAATCCTTGATCCAGCTTTTCAACCTATTGTTGACAAGTATCCGGAACTTAATTGCCCATCGAACGACCTACCGTGCATAACCAGCAATGTTATGCACCACATCATTACAACAGGACAACCTGTGACATCTAAAGCACGACGATTAGCTCCTGACAAACTGAGAATCGTTAGGAATGAGTTTGACCATATGCTTGTGGAGTCCTCAAAAAGAAACTTATCCAAATTTTACTACTATGTAAATAATGAACATATTGTACACCACTTTGTTTTAACCAGAAACTCTGTACTTTGACTTTACCTCGGGTTTTGAATAAATATACAGCTGTGCCTTCGACTCTCCGTCTTCTCCACCATCTCAACTGCCGTCGATCAATCCTAATCACCTGCTTTCTATCTCTGATTTTTGCAGGAGCACCGTAGTTTCTTCCTACGTACTTTGGTCGACCTCCGGCAACGTTAACATTGGAGAATTACTACTGGAGCAGTCTTTCCGCAGCACCTGGAGTCTATTACGTTTATTGTGGACTGTGGACCTTTGTAAACTCAAAAAAAAAAAAAAAAAAAAAAAAAAAAAAAAAAAAAAAAAAAAAAAAAAAAAAAAAAAAAAAAAAAAAAAAGTAACTAAGCTAACAGAGTGAAAAGGTCCACCACAATAATTGGTGAGCCCGTTTCGAACCCTTTTTTTATGGTTAACCCGTTTTCGAACCTTTTTGTTTCGATAGTTACCTCGTTTTGAACATTTTTGTTGCTATTTTGTCCTTATAAACTCGCACTGCTTTAATTTTTGTTACCACAAGTTTTTCTATTTTGTATATCTATATACTTACATATTATATGACAATGGCTCCACCTAAACGTACCACTGTTGCTGAAGAAGGTAATAAAGGCGAAGAGACACAGAACTCTGCTGTTAACGCCTTGCCGGATTTAAGACTTCCTCAATTTGATCTGGCTGAACCACGTGTCTGGTTCACAATTATTGAACAGTTGTTTGCAGCTCGAGGTATTACGTCGCAGATCGCCATGTATGGTTGCGTATTAGCAGCAATTCCCACGGAAGTACTACGAGAGGTTATCGATGTCATAGACAGCAAACCTACAGACTCTCAATATGACAAACTAAAAGCTGCACTCATCCAGCGGACCACTCTCTCCGATGAGAAACGCATACAACAACTACTTACTTCGTGTGATCTAGGTACAAAAAAGCCATCTCAACTACTTAGACATATGCGCCAGTTGATTGGGTCACACAAAGTAGATGAGTTAATTCTACGTCAGATGTTCTTACAACGTTTACCACAAAATGTTCAACAAATCCTAACAATATCTTCTAGGACGACAGACCTTGAAGAATTAGCTAAAATGGCAGACGATATCATGGATGTGTTATCAAATAATGGCATAAATAGCGTGTCTACAGAGGCAGTACCACCAAGCCCTTCCACATCTATGAAGGACGCACCAATGTTTTGGTTACTTTCCCAGTTAACATCTCAAATGCAAGATTTACGACTGGAAGTGTCCGAGCTTCGAGCACAAAGGAACCAGTCACATACGGTATCCAAGCAACGGCGATCAAGATCTAGACGACGTTCTAGAACACCGTCTCAAAGCCGTAACATTTGTTGGTATCATAGGAGGTATGGGCATAATGCCCTGAAGTGTATTCGACCGTGTATGTACAACAGTAGTAACTCATCTCAGGGAAACTCCCCAGCCAGACAGTAATGGCGACGGCTGTTAATGGCAATCACCCCAGTCGCCTTTTCTATGTGAGGGATTTGACTACCGGCACATTATTCCTGGTAGATACAGGCGCCGAGGTCAGTGTTATTCCCCCCTCACTATCCAGGCGATCAGCCAAAATACCTGGAAAACTTTCACTTCGTGCTGCCAACCAAACCAACATACAGACGTATGGCGAACAGTCAATGATTTTAAATTTAGGACTACGCCGACGTTTCACATGGATCTTCATAGTAGCTGACGTACGTCACGCTATACTAGGTGCAGACTTCCTAAGTCACTTCAATCTGTTAGTTGATATCAGCAAGAAAAAACTGGTTGACAATTGCACCCAACTCAAGATCCATGGTATTACATGTGACTACTCGGTTCATAGCATCTGTATAGAAAAGCCGGAGAGTGAAATGTTCTCTGCTTTATTGAAACGATTTCCTAAAATCCTTAAACCATCATACAACGTTGAAGATATATCTCATACAGTTACGCATAAGATCATCACAACAGGACAACCTGTGAAGGCACGTCCACGACGGTTACCACCCGATAAACTAGCAGCAGCTAAGTCGGAATTCGAACATATGATGCAGCTAGGTATCATACGACCATCTAACAGCCCATGGTCTTCACCTCTGCACATGGTACCTAAAACTAATCATGACTGGCGACCATGTGGAGATTATCGCGCTTTGAATAACGCTACGGTCCCAGATCGTTATCCTATACCTCATCTCCACGACTTCTCCTTGAACTTACATGGAAAGACCGTTTTTACCAAAGTTGACTTGGTCAGGGCATATCATCAAATACCAGTCGCTCCAGAAGACATTGCAAAAACAGCAATTATTACGCCTTTTGGATTATTCGAATTCTTGAGAATGCCTTTCGGACTAAAGAATGCTGCTCAAACATTTCAGCGTTTTATGGACCAAGTTACCCAAGGTCTTGATTTCGTCTTTGTATATATCGACGATGTCTTAATTGCCAGCTCATCGATGGAAGAACATATGCAACACTTAAGCCTGTTATTTCAAAGGTTTGAACAATTTGGAGTTGTTATCAATCCAAAGAAATGTATTTTTGGTTCCCCTTCCATTGAATTCTTAGGACATCGAATAACTGCTGAAGGCATCAGACCTACCGAAGATAAGATAGAAACTATTAAGAACTTTCCCGAACCTGATTCCTTAAAGAAACTTAGACGTTTTCTCGGGATGTTCAACTTCTACCGACGTTTTATTCCATCATGTGCCTCCATAGTTCAACCACTGACCGACCTACTTAGATGCAATTCGAAGAAATTTCAGTGGTCTGAAGAAGCAAAAGCAGCATTTAATAATGCAAAAGATGCCTTATCCAACGTCGTAATGTTATCTCACATCAACCCAGAAGCTTCACTCATTTTATGTACAGATGCATCGCAGGTAGCAGTGGGAGCAGTTTTACAACAAAAGTTCAATAATGACACCACTCCACTTGCTTTCTTCTCCAAAAAGTTGGAACCTGCGCAAACTCGTTACAGTACCTTTGGCAGAGAACTGTTAGCCATCTACCTAGCAGTGAAACATTTCAGCTTCTTACTACAAGGTCGACATTTTACTATCTTAACCGACCATAAGCCTCTTTGTTATGCTTTCACCACTTCGTTGGACAGACACTCTCCGAGAGAAGCCAGACAACTGGATTACATCTCACAATTCTCAACAGACATCCAGTTCATCAAAGGAGATTCTAATATCGTAGCCGATTCTTTGTCTC